CTCTCTCTCTCTCTCTCTCCCTCTCTTTCTCCCTCTCTCCTCTCCGTCTCACTCTTCCACACCGGCGTCTTTTCGACTCGGCCTAATAAAGTTTGCGCGGAACTCCTTGTCCATCTTCACGGACTGATATGCCGCATGCCGCATCTGATGCACGTGAAAATAATTTTCACTGCCCTACGAAGCGGCCTCACTGGGAGGGAAAAGGGACTGGAGTGGTAACGGTGCGGTGTTCCAAGGCGATGCCAGGTGTTCAAGTCACTCGTCCCCTCCACCCTTCCTCGCTCCCGTTGGGGCCGACCCCGACCCTTTGGACAGGTGCAAGGTGCGCTCTTCATGGACAGGCCAACAGGTTCTTGATGCTCGATGCTTGGTTTTGTGTTATATTTGTTTTGGCCTCAATATTTCTCTCTTATAGCAAAAACCCTATCGGGTTGTCTCACATGCTAACTGTAAAAGTCCATGGTTATAACGCCAGACTTATCCCCTTCTTCCGCTTCACCATTCAACTGGAAAGCTACTTTTTCGTATATGTCGCATAGAATTATTTGTGCGTACGGATTTATGCATGAATTCAGGCTTAAATGTTCACAATTTTATTCTTAAAACAGGGTATACTTTAGTTGATGTACAAAATTTAACAGTATAGAATTATGTTTGATTTTGTACATAAATGCGAGTGGTATTTAAGTCGGTCCATACGACATGATGACATGTATGAAGACGTGCACCCCAGTTAGTGTGCAGTTCCTAAAATGTCGACGTGTTAAACGATCGTATTACCTTTCGCTCTAGCAAGAAGGGTGCACGGTGCACCTGTGCGGAAAAATACCAGAGTGAAATTTCGCGATGTTATCTGGCGCGTGGCGCGTGGTGGCCCGCTTTGCGTCGCTTTGTTTCCATATGCAGCGTGTAGAGCCATTGGACAGCGCAGCGGAGCGCGACGAGTGGGTTGCTCTCGCCTCGTCACCTACTGAGTGTGTAGTGTTTTGGAGCAAACGGGACGTCCTGCAATTATGGCACGGCAGCGAGTATGACGGTGCGCCTGTGCGGGGCCCTTCCTGGACCCGAACAACACGTGTGGGTGAGAAAGTGTTGATTGATTGTGACAGTCCCGGCACTTGTTTCTTAATTACACAATTTTCGGTTGTGATCGGTCACTGCGTGTGAGAGCTGGGTGGTGGAACGGGCTGGTAATTGCTGGCCCCGTGCTCTACTGCCTGTTCAATTTCCCACGGACCGCAGCCCAAACACAACGGCGTAGTGGTTCTCTCTACAATTAAGTCGTTTCCTCCTTAATCTACAATTTAACGCCAAAACAGTGTTGTTGTTGGAAGGCCTAGCCCGTGATTTGCCGCCTCTGCAAATAATAATCCTCTTTGCCGCGTATTTCTTATCTAAGGCATCCAGACAACTGTTGTCTTGGTGCACCACTGCGGATTTGAAACTTCGTGAATAAATTATCGCGGCAGCAAACCAGCCCCACAAAGTCTTCGTAGTTCTGTGACTCGTTAATCGCTTGAGGCCAGTGCCCTTTAAACATTCTTCTAGGTACCAAGTCCCACTAGATTTTCAGGACTTTGCCACTATACCGAAATGAAAGTGTTCAACTGGCATGCACCTGGTAGTGTTCAATTGCATAGTGCACTATTATGTGTTTGACTGAAAATTTGAACACAAAAGTGTTAAACAGTCAATTTGAACATTTTAAAGTGTCTAAAGCTTAATTGCCAACCTTAAAGCAAACACCTCTAACCCCACTTGCAAATGCAAGCTAGTTGCACAATTCAAATGTCAGTTTACACCTGACTCAGCTCATCGTGAACCACGTTGCATTGTTATGGTTTAAACGTTCAAACAAATGTTGTTTCCAGGGTGTGAGGAAGTGTTACTAGTAAAAGGGAATAATACCGTATATTATAGTCCAATTGTGTGGCAGTAGCAAAATTGGTCCACAGAGCCGGACGATCAAAATTTCGCTTTTTCCACATTGTCTGCTTTTGTCTAATAATGACACTCTTGCAGGTCCATCCAAGTGTTCGGTCAGACGGGCAGACGACACTCTGACATCCTGGAGGAGCAGAGACAGGAGGCGGGTTCGGTGCACGGAGGTGCTCTCCGCTACCCTAACGCAGTAGTATTCTGGATGCAGTGTGACAAGGTACGTTAGTCGCGTGGAAAGCAATAAAGCTAGACAAATGGGCCTAACCCTGACCATGTAGAAGTCATACATACAATGTCGCAAATGCAAACTGTGCACACGCTTCTGTGTGATTGTTTGACATGTCTAGCTCTTTTGGCCTTGACAGTTCGTTCCGTCATTAAATGCCCCGCTTCCCACTGTAATTTTCGTACCTGCTGCAGTGCGAAGTAGACTGCGGCGCTGTGCTGCAGAACTGCCAAATCAATTCACACGAGGGGCACACATTTGTGCACCAACTCGCACTAAGCAACGATGTTTGCTATTTCAGGTCGTCATTTTGCGAACGATGTTTTAAAGGCAATGCCGTTATTGCCAGCCCCAAAAGCTTTACTCCAACCCGACGGTCAGGCCTACTCTTCATGACGTGGCATACCAACCAGCCGTCTAGCCGCTAGCCGTCGTTCTGCACTCGCACCCGTCAATCTTCCCGCTCCCACTCGTTAGTCCAGCGACAAAGACGAAACCGAACGGGCTGCGATGGAACATTATTCACGGGCGAGATATCGTGATGGGATATCACAATTTGTGCTTTGCAATCGTTAATTCTTGTTCGCTCATGAACTCCGTTTGTCCACCGGTCGGTCAATGACCAAGCCTCTGGAGCGTTGGCTGCCTGTTCTGTTTGACGGCTCGGGCGCTGTTCCTCTCACATCTTTTTAAAGCGGCGGCCACCACCTCTTGAGACATGTTACATACAGCCCCAGGCTCTTTATCATGTTAATGATTTATTTCCAATATTTGTCAATTTAGTGAACGGAGCACCGAGCAAGTTTTGTCTGTCGATTTCTCCCGCTATTATGTGTTGGACACGCACTGGAAAACCAACAGTGTAGCCTTAATCATAAGCATGTCTATGATTTTTGATCTTTGTGGTCTTTGCTGATACGCCATCATACAATGCACAGTAAACTGATGTGTTTTTTTTAGAGAATAGAACTTTACTTGGCTGCTGCAAAAGTTAATAGCCCCTGCATCACCCGCGTAGTAGGAGCTTGTGATAGTTTTTCGCAGTTTGTGATGACTGTCCATCCAGAACTACCTAGATCTAGGCGGGAAGATCTGGCATCTGATCGAAACTGTGCGTCTGATTGTCCTTGACGGCTCGATCTTCGGCCCCATCGGCCCCACACGCAGCCTGCAGTGGCAATGGTAAATGAGACCTTAGCCCAACGCGGTTCTACCTCGTCACACACAATTTTTCGGGACAGGATCGGTGATAGAATTGCAAACCCGGATTTAAAAGAACTAATAGTGTAGTGTAACCCGTAAGGTAAAATAGCGAGCGATTTATAACAAGATGTATGCACATATTTTCCAAGGAGAATGCAAGGACTAGAAGAAGTAATGAGTGCCATCTTGGACCGTCACTCAACAAACGGTGGGGTGGAACACAGTCCCGCCCTGGTTTGTTGTCTGAGCTGGGCCGAGGCTGGGGGTAAAGGCGGGTGGTCTGCCCGCCGCTTCCGCATTACCCTCGCGATTTACGGGATTACAGCCTGGCTCGGCCCACGCCCCCTCCCCGACGCGCCCGCGCCGACTCTGTCATTTGGTCGCCCTGCGGTCCTGCCGGGTCCTGCCGGGCCGGGTCCTGCGGCGGTGCGCCGTTCTGCTCCTGCACCTGCATCCCACCGCGCACGCCGTGCTACGTGTCGGAGCGGCCGAGTGACATTAACAATCACGAGTCGCTTTGTCCTCGCTATGTCCTGCTGCGAGTGAATAGTGTCAGGGCGCAATGCGCAGGGTAAAAAATAATTTCTGCGATGTTAAAAGTATGCAAAGAATTGCTTCGCAACTACAGAGAAATTAGTAGCATCGCAGTACGACGCCAAATTTTCTAGGCTTTTCCTAGCGGGGGTGCCGTCAAAATACAATTTGAAGTATTGCGGGATCCATATCTCTCAATCGGTGAGCGATATTGGTTGCCTTCAACCTTCAACCTTCACAGGCCCATCACTTCGACAGTGTCCATCGGTTTTCCTCCGACGCCTCCCCTCCGGTCGAGTTACCGTACTGTATTACCGCGCTACCTGGCGGCCACCTCGCTAGATTGATCGCGAGTTTTAAATCCAACATACTGATGTAAACGAAGTTGTACAAAGAATGTACGTGCTCTGCAAATCTAACTGTATAACGCGAGGTATAACGACATGACCATGAACGCATCTATAGAAGCGCACATGGGCATGTATAGATGGTATATACCTTATATACATATGCCATATGCCGCCATGTACACTTTTTTAAAAGTATACTATTTGAATTGACAGTGTGAGGGTGGCATCTTCGTTTGGTGGAAACGCGGGTCTCTGTTAATTTTTTTATGAGAAGTATTGCCACTTTTTGAATTTGGTTCCGAATTCGTTTTCACTCTAAATGTCAAGGGACAATTTTGTCCGTAGATTTGCAACGATTTCGTGCACATCCAGAAAGGATGCAATTTTGTTCCTAAAACTAGACAAATTGTGTGAAACTTCACACAATTTGTCCAATTAAGGGAACAAAATTGCATCCTTTCTGGATGTGCACGAAATCGTTGCAAATCTACGGACAAAATTGTCCCTTGACATTTAGAGTGTTTCTTCTCTAACGATCGCCCTAGGCATTGCACTTGACCACTTGACTCGAGGGAAGTCCGCTTAACCTTGCCCTCCTCCCTTAACTCCTGATGGGGTTTTCACTGGCCTCTTCGCCGGCCTCTTTTTACGCCTTCACCCCTTTCTCTCGCGGTATAATTAATAGCTTGGTCTGATTGCCTCCCCCACCGAGGAAAGGGGGGGGGGGGGTGCCTCGTGCAAAACGGCGTCGATCCGACCCGCCCTCCCGAAATAACCAGACAGACGGTTTTTTAAGGTCGGCGGACGCGGAAATAGAGGTCATGTTTTGGCTGAGACGCGCGGCCGCGAGCCGCTGGGCCGCCGGACCCGCCGCGTGGTGATCGTCTGGGCCGCGGTGGGCCGGCGGCGGCGCACGTGGCGCTGCGGCAGGGCGGCCCGCCCTCGCGGTGTTGCAGACAACTAGGCTGGGTCCACGCCGCCTGCTCGGATGCGTTTCAACCGTGTGGTACGGGCGTGCGCACCTACAAGTTTTGCGTAGACATAAGGAAAAATTTTATCAGTGTGGCACCGTTACTTTACCCTCCTGTTTTGAAAGAGATCCC